TAGCTCCGCTACTTAACTATCACGGCCCCAAGGCTCCTGCTGATGTTATCAGCTTCGGGCTCACAGCGACCCTCTGGCCAACAGAATGGAACCCCGCCCAGTCCTGCATCCTCCTCCCAGTGGTTATGTTGGAGCCTGTCATCGTCCTTCTTCTCCACAGCCTTCCTCCTTTTTCTGACCTTCTGTTTGACCGCGTGTGACGTCTTTTTCCAGGGACTGCCTCTCCAGGGCTCCTGGATGGTAGCATAAAGGACAGGTGCTCGGTGCTCGGTGGAAATCAGCTTTCTGGGTGCAGCTATCTGGGAAGGTGAAGCCCCTCCCATGAACCCATCTTCGGTGGCTTCCACTGACAGAGTGCAGCCTGAATACCCTGAGGGGGAGTGGAGAGGTCGGAGGAAGGAAAAGCCACCCTCAGATCCTGAGCCCAGTGGATGGGATGCTGTGTGCCAGGGCAGCAGAGGCCACCACCACTGTCATTATTACTGGTGCCAAGGCTCCCTGTGGGCACCAGCCCTGCAGCAAGAGTTAGGGGACTTGTGTTTAGGCTTAGTTCTGCCCTAGCCAGCCAGTCCCTTAACTACAGTGAGCTCTGCCTTTCCTCTCTGAAGCCCAAGAAGCAGGAGCACTTGAAGTTTGGGGCTAAGCTCAGCCTTGTCCTGGGCTCCAAGAGAATTCAATAGCACATCAAAAGGGTAACAGCCTAGACCAGTGCTTCTCAACCTTCCTAATGCTGTGACCCTTTCATACAGTTCCGGGATGCGGAAGGCAGCATGCCAGGGCTGCAGACTCCCAGCATCTTGGAGTTGAAATGGGCCTTCCTCCCGGAGATGGATGGACAGACTCTCTAAGATCTAGGAGAGCAGGGACAATCCCTAGGGGGTGGCTGGGGTAAATAGTTGGTACTCAATTGAGCCTGGTGACTGAGTAGTTATGCACTGGGCTGTGATCTGAAAGGTCCGCAGTTCAAAACCACCAGCCATTCTGAGCATAAAGAGTGACCATCTCGACACTCTCCGGGCAGCTCTACCCTGTCCTGTGGGATGGACATGAGTCGGCAGTGGGTTTGGTTTGGTGTGGGGCTCACAAGAAGGCTGGTCATTTAAACCCACCCAAGAGTGGCTGTGAGTCAGTGGGTGGTGGTGGTCGTCACTGAGTGGATTCTGACCCTCAGGCCTGTGGCCGCCGAGTAGATCGATGGCACAGGTCTTTCAAAGTGGGCCACCAGGCCTGTCTTTAGAGATGCC